AACTGTCTATCAGTAATCCTTAAACTTCAAGACCAATGAGTGAGTGAGTTGGGTATAACGCCGCTTTTAACAGTATTCCAGCTATATCGCGGCGTGTTATCTTGATGTGGGAGGAAAGCCCCAAGTGATGCAGGTCTTAGACGTTTACCACTTCGATGAAACCCACGAGGGCGGGTATGGTGCTGAAAAACCTGGAAACATAATCGGGGCGAACCGGGATTCGAACCCACAATCATAGGTTTCAGGCGTGCCCAATGGACGCAACTAGGCACAGATAATCGCGGCGCTTTAGACGACTGTGCCATCCGCGCCCCAAGACCAATGTATTAAACCCCTAACAGTTTGGTATCTGCGGATAATAGCAGACCCTGGGGCTGGCCTGTATCCCAATACAGACACATGTCAGAGGGAATGAGTCCAAACAAAAATGTCCACGCAAACATTTAAATTCCAAACGCCCCGAGGGATCGGTTGACAACGACTTTTTTCTCACTGTCAATCAGTCCTACAGACCAGGAATGCATGTTCGAAGATTCATACAGAATCATAGTTCATATGCTAATCCATCTCTAAATACAGAATCATAGTTCATATGCTAATCTATCTCTAAATACAGAATCACTGTTCATATGCTAATCAATCGTAATACAGAATCATAGTTCATATGCTAATCCATCTCTAAATACAGAATCATGGTTCATATGTTAATCCATCTCTAAATACAGAATCATGGTTCATTTGCTAATCCATCTCTAAATACAGAATCATGGTTCATATGCTAATCCTGTGATTGTGGGTTCGAATCCTGGATCGACCCGATTATGTTTCTAGCTTTGTCAGCACCATACCCGTGCTCGTGGGTTTCACCGAAGTGGTAAAGGTCTAAGACCTGCATCACTTGGGGCTTTCCTCCCACATTAAGCTGACACGCGGTGATATAACTGGAATACTGTTAAAAGTGGCGTTTAAGATAACTTACTCACTCACTCAATGTAGCTCAGAGTCCGTAATACCCATCACATATTTAACTGGTCCAGACTTTAGGGTTTCCATGCCGCCACATGTGGCTAGAATGTTACTGAGTGCAGCGTTGAACAACAAACAAATAATCATAATTAGGGACACTGAATGTATATTTTAGAGGTGCTTCAATCTCATTGCTATTTACAAAGTCTCTGTTAAAATATCTCATACAGCACCATGCAGAGGTGATTACATTTTTTCTGCTTTGAGAAAAGTAAAACATCACTTATTGTGTAAATTCATTGTCTATATTGGTCAGGCATCATTTTCACCCATCTTCCGGATCTGTTCTGATAAAGTAATCATAGGAGCATCACAGGTGTACGTTTTTACATGTCGTGAGCGAGGGAGTGGTTTAACGCCGCTTTTAGCAATATTCCAGTAAAATCACAGCGGGGGACACCAGAAAGGGGCTTCACAAATATATGACTGGTTATTTTCAGTTTCCAATTTTAAGAGATATTAGGGTTGCACGGGTGGACCAGTCCTCAATGGTGCCGCATTTCGATATGCAGAGGTGCGTCCCTTGAGCACTTCAGAAAGCTATGAAAGTAGGTTCGAATCTTGTTTCCAACACTTTGCACGTCCATTGTGCTGAAAACATTTTCTGAAAGCAATTTCCGTGCATCCTTTGCATTTTTGCTCTTAAACGTTTACAAAAAAAACAACATTTTGAATCTCGGTTCCCCCCGAATATGTTTCTAGGCTTGTAAGCACCATTCTCGTGCAAGTGGGTTTCACTGAAGTGGTAAACGTCTGACACCTGCATCATTTCGGGCTTTCCTCCCACATTAAGCTGGCACGCCGTGATATATCTGTCACATTTTTCAAAGTGGCGTGAAACCCAATTCGCTTCAAGGCAAGAAAACTCTCAAATATTTCTTGCAATATTTTCCTATTGCCAATGTATAGTGCTCTTTATGTGCTAAAATGGCATTATTTGTATGAAAACATGTTGTTCATACATCTTTATACAGTAACGCGCTAATAATTGAATATGAATGCGCTTAACACATTGGTCGGTCTATAATCACCTGTAGAAGACGAAAACAATGAAATGGCAGTCAAATATTCATGTACTCAATTTCTTGGCCTTAAAACTTGATCTGCAGCCATTTCATCCATGCGTATTCTTCGCAACTGGGCCGATTATCCAGTGACAGGCCATCGTGGTGATTGTGGCTTGAAACATTATACACCCTTAAAAAAACCTCAAAAACACCGCACAGGCAGTATGTAGTTCATTGAACTTGACTACACAAAATATCCGGAATATAAATTGGATATATTAAAAAGGCAGCCATTGTCGATTGGCAATGTCTTAAACGCATTGTTTTCACACTTGTTCAAGCATGTCATTGAGGAAAACAGTAAAGCAAAATTTGTCATTCGAATGGCAACATTTTTCAAGTTCGAAAACGCCGAGGCACAGCGCTGCCGATCGGAACATCGCCAAAGGACGTATCCAAAGAGGGGATTCGCAGTCTTCTGTTGCACGCCACTTCAACGTCCACCACAGCACCATTTGCCGCCTCTGTGACCGATACACACTGTTCAATTCCACTGCAGACCGTCCGAGAACCGGCCAAGAGTTACCACCCCTGCACAGGATCGCTACATTCGACTGTTCCACCTACGTCAACGCAATGACACAGCTACGGAGACTGCAGGACGCATCCCTGGTTTGAGGAGGATATCGGACCAGACTGTCAGGAACCATCTTCGCGAGGCTGGAATCCGACCCAGAAGACCAGTTATCGTCCCTGTTTTGCAACAGATCCATTGACAGTTTGCGCTGGTTCCATACCTAACAGCTTTGGACTTTGAGAAACTGGAGACGAATGTGGTTTTGCGATGAGTCATAATTTCTTCTACACCGGCGAAATGGAAGAAAACGTGTTTCTCGTCGTCGAAATGAACGTTGTGCCCCACATTGTGTGCGTAATTTTGACAAAATCGGCGACGGTAGTTTTATGGTGTGTGTGTGTGCGGGGGGGGGGGGGGGGGGGGGGGGGGGAGGGGGGGCCATATCCTACACAACGAGATCTGACTTGGTTGTGGTTCATGGAAAATTGACAGCAAATCACTACATGAATCACATTCTTCAACCTCTTCCAAGCATTGACCGCCAGAGAGAGCTGTGTCACGGTAGACTACCTTCATAATGCCAACATCAACGACTTTCCCTGGCCGCCAGAACAGAACAGAACAGAACAGAACTTTATTACGCCCAAAAAGTAGCATGTTGATGTTTAACAGGAGATGCGACGTATAATAGTGATGGCAGCTTTAATAGTTATTTAAATGTAGCCATTACTATTTTACAATATTTTGATAATTTCTTCAAGAAGATATTATTTTTACAATGAAACATCTGTTGAAGTTTAAACATAGATGGATGTACAATAAGAGTCTTTGGTATGTATAATTGTCCTACTTCTTTAAAATATCAAGATCTCCAGATCTGAACCCAATGGAACACATCTGGGATGAACACGATCTACGTGTACGTCAACGTCATAACACGCCATAGACACTGCCACAACTGGCCAACGCGTTGCAAGCAGATTGGCGCAGAATTCCGCTGGACAGAATTCGTACACTTATCCAGTCAGTGCCGAGGAGATGCAGAGCCGTGATTGCTGCCCGGGGCGGTCACATGAGATGCTGAGCTCTGCGCAACCTTGTGCCCTTATATGACATGACCATGAACAGTTTCCAATGTCCTTTATACAACGACAACATGTGACTGTCGATCACCAAAATTTCATATTTGTATCTATGATAATAAATTAAATATATCGACATTATTAGGTACAAGACATTTACTAAAAATCTACCTGTGCGTTTCTTTTTTGTTGAGTGTATATTACACATTTCCGTGAACTTTTTGAAGCGCATAATGTAGCATTTTAAGCTGTGAAGTTTACTTCACGAACGTTATTTTACTTCCCTGCTCGAAAGTAATCTAGATGAAATTGCAGCCAAAACCTTCGGTATCTTTTCAGGTTAACGTTAATGATGTGCCAGTGATTTCTCGTCAGGATCATTTTGTGGTACACGTGATGAGATGTAAAATATGACTATCGTAGTCATAACAACCCTACCGATTGGACAGATATTGAAACGTTTAAAGTAGAGAAGAAGCACCCTTTTCAAAACCTAGTATCCTCTTGCCATCCAGTGTAAAAAATGAGGGGAGGGGAAATTGGGTTTAACGTCGCGTCCAAGATTATTGCACTTATATAGGGACGTGCATGTACGCGTGTGTGTGTGGCTGCTTGTACTAGTCCGGACTGATGCCGATTTATAGTGCTAGCTCACTAGGATACCATGCCGCAGTTTAACATGATTACCCCACTCAGACACAGTATACTGACTCCGAGCCGACCAGGCCTTGTTTTAGCCCCTTTATGCCGAGCGCCAGACAGGGTAACAACAAATACAATCTTTTAACGTCTTTTGGTATGACGCAGCCGGGGATCGAACCCCGGACCTTCCGCTCTCCGGGCGGACGCTCAGTGTAAAAGGAAATAGGCTATAATAATTATATGTCACTCACCCTGCGAGACACGGGGGAGCCCTATCAAACTAGCAATATTACTATCAGTATTATATGAGGATAAATACGTTAGACAATTGCAAAGCGTTCTCGTATTTAAAGATAACATTACCCTGCGTTATCTGCTAGATTATTGTTGAGTGCGGCGTTAAGCGTCCGTAAGCATATTATAATTAAATACGTGAGGAAGTGACACTCGTGTTTCAATGGCTTTTTATCAAATGAAGAGGAAAATACGGAAAATGTCAGGTGGCCGACTCGTTGACCCGGACTCCGTTGATCATGTCATACTGCAGCGGAATGTCCGACGAACATATAGTTCCTTCCAGATTGGCGAGATTATACCAGAGGAAACAAATATGACATAGAGAAAAGCTTGAAAGTAATATTATTTTTTATTGTACATGTAGCAAATTCGGCACATTTAATGCAGTACATTTAATTGAAAAAAGTCCGGATTAGTCAGATTTTGACAGGTTTCACTGTATGCATCACTTGTTTGTCGCAGGCTTTCTAGTATTTACCTCTCGCCATCCTTTCACTGGAATAGTGAGGCGTTAAACAACAAACACAAATTCATTTTGCAAAAGATAATGTGGCAAAATAAATGTGCGATGCCACCTAAGAGGCCGTGTTAATTTATGTCAGGTTGTTCTTTAAGTAAAAGCATTTGGCCTCATTTTCACACATCTTAGCACAAACATTGAAAATATAGTGTGTTTTTTAATGTATATTCTATTTGTTTTCTTTTATTGCATTGACAAAACATATTCTGCCTGATAACTGACTTAAACAAACACATTTTTTCCACGATAGTGAACAGGTGTGTGAGTGCACAATTGATCTACATGCACCTGTGTTAGTTAACAAACAGATACGGGGTAGAATAGGTCTTCAGCAACCAATGCTTGCCGTAAAAAGCGACTATGCTTGTCGGAAAAGGCGACTAACGGGATCGGGTGGTCAGGCTCGCTGACGTAGTTGATGCATGTCATCGTATCCCAATTTCGTGGAACGATGCTCATGATATCCATCACCGGATATTAACAGACCGCCGTCATAAAGCTGGACTATTGCTAAGTCGATGTAATCATACTAATCAAGTTGTAACACAATTTCCTCATTCAACTATTTTTCTAGTATTATACCCAAAACAATAGATGTCTCCTCACAGTTAAATGTTGACCCCCGATCTTTCTTCAAAACCAATATAAACATTTGCAGTTTCTGCGTGTTAAGTGCTAAGCCGTTTTTCATCGATGTTTATGGTAGAAAGCATATAACGTGTCCTACTGGTGGAACAAGACATGTTTTTAGTGTGTCTTTACTTTTTACACCCAGTGGAATCTGCTTTGGCAGACATTCGAGACTGGCGTTTTCGGTAGAATTACAAATTGTTTTCATACCCGACAATGTACCTTTCTCCATATGTCTCCAAGTTCCCGTCTGAAGTTGGTACTGAAGAAGCTGTATATGATTGGATTGGAGGCGCTGTTGATGAAATACGACCTGATGAAAAGGTTGATGGCGGCTAATCCAGCGCCTTGGGTTACCTCGAAGAGATCCCTTTTGATCCCCAACGCCACCATCAGTGAAAGGTGTGGCAGAAAGCTCAAGACAAATACAAGAGTGATTAGAAACAGCATGAACGACATTCTCTGTTCACCTCTGTCACCTCGAGACGATGTCTGTGCATATGTCAGCTCAGCATCACTGCAGACAGACCCTTCTTTATCCTGCCTTGTCTTGCCCTTAGCAATATGCATAGGATTCCGTCCTTGCTGGGGGTCGGTCAAAACGTCATTCGTGCTCGGTCGAATGTTAGGCATTTGCATCTCTACCACAGAAACATCTGTAAGTTCAGGTTCTGATGAAGAGGTACGACCTTCATCTGATTCATTTGAGTTTATCTCTTTACCACCATCTCTATTTTGGGATGAAGGAACATTCTGATGACAATTCATTTTGTTTCTGTATGAGTGTTGCTTACCGACTTGCCGCTTTATTAAACTGTACAGCACTATTAGGCACAGAACTGAAGGCACAAATATGGAGAAATGTATCCCATTATACAGCAGAGGAAATGGAGAATTAATGTACTCATCCGAAATGGAACAGTCAGAACCGTTGATGCTGATGATGTCTGTAGGCACAGTTCTTGAACCGTAGATAACGAACGCAGGCAGCGATAACAGACACGAAGCAACTGTGCAAATTGTTACAGCTACCTGAGCAGTCCTTAGGGTAATCTGCTTTTGAAATGGTCTGCATACCTTCTTGTATCGATCTACTGCTACAACTAGCAGAACACTTCCAGACCCAAAGGAAGAGAACACTATTAATACTCGAATTACTTTACAAAGTGCATATCGCCCAAATGTGAAGTTATACCTCATATCTGCTATTTCATGGGGAATGCATACGACACAATTCAGAAGATCAAACGCTGCCAGTGATAGAATATACAGTCGGGTTGTGCTTCGCTTCATCTTCAAATGATACACGTAAAAGACGAGGGAGTTCCCAATGCACCCAACAAGCATCAGAATGGCAAGGAACAAGATGGCGGGCACAACTTGTTGCGCGTATTTATTGTTATTAAGATGAAGCTGAAGATCGAGGTCAGGAGAGGGAAGAGTGACGCTGTCGTTTGACATTGTCTGGAGGGATTTACTTGACCAATAATTCCGGTTGTAGTTTGCAAGTTTCTGAAAAAAAAGCACAAGAAAACAAATATGGCGCGATGATGGTGGCATGTAACAATTTAAAACATCAAATTATTCTTTTTAATTTTTATCGGGCTAGAACATATCGTAAGCAGGTTTTATTCAGTCAGTATTAAACAATGAGTCCCGCTTCTAAAATACTGAGACATAACTATGGTGTATTGGTGTGATTGTATTGCAAAAGCTTCAAAACCTTTGTAAATCTTGAAACAAATATATTTTTCTATGAAGAACAACTTAGCCTGTTTTTTCTAAAATATATTGAAATACAAATGACAGTTATTCTTTTTTCCATTTATATATTTTTCGATCCCGCAATTTGTGCATATACATTTAGAAAAAAACACAGATGTGCATGTTTTCTAACACATATACTGAAGGGCTGTTTTCCCACTCTTTATCATATACAGGAAGGGTTTCTCTGCAAGATAAAGTCATTGGGTAAAAACGATAAATAATGACGCTGTCCTTGTCCATCGCCGATCGAGTCAGATCTGGATGATGGCAAGGTTAGAGATATGAACTGTTATTAAACAATTTAGCAAGAACACTGGGGGATATGTGTGCTTGTAAACTTCTGTGGCTTAAAACAGTTGGGTGTGGCCAAAAGACGTCCAAAATTTTACCTTGTTTCATTTTGTCGCTGTATGTCGAGACGGGAAAGGGTTTTTCGACGAAAGAATTTAAGAATTACATTTCATGATGAGGTGAGGTGAAATGGAATTTAACGTCGCGTCCAAGATTATTGCACTTATATAGCGACGTGCATGTACGAGTGTGTGTTTCTGTGGCTGCTTGTACTAGTCCGGACTGATGCCGATTTTTAGTGCTAGCTCACTGAGATACCATGCCGCAGTTTAACATGAATATCCCACTCAGACACAGAATACTGACTCCGAGCCGACCAGTCCTTGTTTTAGCCCCTTAATGCCGAGCGCCAGACAGGGTAACAACAACCATCTTTTAACGTCTTTTGGTATGACGCGGCCGGGGATCGAACACCGGACCTTCCGCTCTCCGGGCGGACGCTCTACCACTAGACCACGGAGGCGGTCCATTTCATGATGAAGTTGTTACCGAGCATGTGTGATTTGCGATGGTATTATTCTCTATTAGGAATTAACACTATCTATGAACATTTAGGTCACCAAGGCTTGCAAAATAAAATGTTTATTCCTAATACAAAATATTCCACCTCGAAAGACACTAGCGGGATAACGCCTATTTACGAAAAAAACACGATTCTTACTCACCTTTCTCGCGTTAGTTTCTGAAACGTGAAACAACCATCACTGCAAGTCCCACAGACACTAGATCAGGAGGGGAAGTTACTGCTTCTAGAGTTACAGCTGATTGTTGCGTTGTAAATTACTACGCGGTCACGTCGATGTGACCCAATAGGTGCAGACTTCAAACCCACATCACGTGCAAAGGAAATATCCTGTCATGATCATTAAGATAATATGTTATCACGAATCAATGATTTTGGTGTCTTTCATTTCTTATGTGTATGAATACTCCCTGTTTCCGCAATCAACTGAAAATGTAAATTTGTCCGTTGTACGTTTTACGAATTGAATGATATGACCTGCACTGATCAATTTGAAATGCTTCTTTGCGATGAAGAACTGTTTTGTAGTTGTTATGAAACTAAACAGAAGCAGGAAATTCATTGTCAACATGAACTGAAACCACTAAAAGCACAAGTGACATCACAATATTTGAGGCAGATATTAAACAAAATATTTCTCTCTATCATTTATGATTTTCATTGATAATTATGATGTAAATGTAAAAGTAGACAAAACGTTTATGGATAACTACTTCCTTATCATGCTGCTGTAGCGACTTTTCGGTATGTATCCTTATAACGTCTCCAACTTACAATCATGGGAAACAAACGTTTAATATACACTGCCACATAACAGTTAGCATTAGCTGGTCACGATACATCAGTCTTGGCAGTATGGAAATGTTGGAATTGGTTGTAGCCTGGTTCCATTAAGAAAAAAACACCTCCGTGGTCTAGAGGTAGAGCGTTCGGCCGGAGAGCGGAAGGTCTGGTGTTCGATACCCAGGCGCGTCACACGAAAAGACATTAAAAGATGTAAAATGTAGTTCCAGATTAATGAGATTTTACTAGAGGATACGTAAACATGACATAGGATGAGCTTGAAAGAAATAGCTTTCGTTATCATAGTAAATTATGAACATTAAATTGACAGACGTCTGGATTAGTCAGAGTCTGGTTTTGACAGTTTCCACACTGTTGGCATCACCAGATTGTCACAAGTTCTCTTGTATTTATCTGTTGCGCGTATATATTGTTATTGAGACGAAGGTGAAGATCGAGTTAACGAGGGGAAAAATGACGCTGTCCTTTAACATTCATTGGATGTATTTACTTGTCAAATATTTCCGGATGTTGTAACGATCAAACGGTCAAATCTTAATTTTCTCTTGTCTTGTTCAGTTGATGTTAAACAAAATCCCTGAGGCACTTTCAGAATTAGTCCCATGACTGAAAATGTGTTGTTTTTTTGTGTGATTTTATTTTGAAAGCTTCAAGTCACTTTGTAGATTTTGAACAAGTGTATTTCCATTTAGCACAAATTAAACCATTGCTACTTAAATCTGTGGAAATTACAGATGACAATAATAATAAATCTGTTCTCCAATATTATTTATTTCTATCCTCACATTTTGTTCACTATTTTGATTCTACCTACAGTAAACTACGTCTATAACGAACATTCTTAAAACGAACTGACCAATATAACGAACTTATTTTCTAGTCCCGGCCATTTGTTGTATATATGTTGTATATATGCTTATGACGAACTACGGTTATTACGAATTAAAATTAGTGGTCCCTTTGGATTCGTTATAACCGTAGTTTACACTACTTCGATCTCAGGGGCGGTCGGGTAGCCTAGTGGTTAAAGCGTTTGCTCGTCACGCCGAAGACCCGGGTTCGATTCCCGACATTTGTACAAAGTGTGAAGCCCATTTCTGGTGTCCCCCGCCGTGATATTGCTGGAATATTGCCAAAAGCGGCGTAAAACCATACTCACTCACTCACTAACTTCGATCTCATCAAAACGGCAACACCGAAGAACAAGGTGCAAAGCCAGCACAATAACTGTTTTCACAAAATTGTATTTCTTGCACTTGTTGAACCAGGAATGATATTACATTTAAAACTGCGGTCTTCATAGAGACCTCATTTAGTAAAGGGCTGTATAATCTATTTATCCTGTAATGATGAAACCATTGGATAAAAGAGGAATCTGCTGGGTCCATATATGGATAAATATGCAAATATATGATCAGGTAGATACAAGTTTGAGTGTTAACAAACACTCATGGTGCGGCCTTTTATCTACTGGGGATCGGGCAATAGCGGAATGCGTTTCATATATGATTATCTCTATACAAACGTCATGTCTCATAGACTAGAGTTGCTTCTCTTTGATAAAGGCAGTTACTTTACCGGTAGGTCCGAAGCATTGTTGCAATGTGCGAGTACAACAGTTGTCCTGGCAATGGTATTTTTACCTTCACATAGTTCGAAAACCGGTGTCACTTTTCGACAGACTACCTTCTTAAGATAAGATATTAATGCACCAATTCCAGGAAAGCATGCAATAATAATCTTTGTGAGAGATGAGAATAGGGTTTTTTCCACAAAAGAAGACATTAGAGGATAAAGGGGTTACCTCGCTTATGTGTTTTGGTGAGCTCCATTTCCAGTATTTGGAATCATTACACTCTTAAAAAAAAGAAACGCACAGGTAGTATGGCCTGATATTCGACAAACGTACAACTAGGCGTACAAGAATAATAAAAAATAAAGGAAAATCAGTGACGACGCTTGGAGTATCCGATTTACAACCCCAAGACACATTTGCATGAAAACTCTGTTTCCAAGAGATTACGATTTTAACTCACCTTACTCTGATCAGGTTGTGATAAGTGTCATAACCAACAATTTAACAAGGATATTCACACAAGTCTATAGGGAAGAGATGTGACGGATGCTGCTTCTACAGTTACATCTCATTGATAGATTGCCGATTACTACGTCCTTGTAACTTAATAGGTGAAGTTCAATCCCAGATCACATGCAAAGGAAACATCTCGTCATCCAGACAACATGCTAACAAGAAACAATGTTTTTTTCGTATTTTTCTATTTGCCTGTGTATAAATACTTCCTGTTTCCTCAATCAACTGAAATTTGTCCATTGTGTCCAAGGTACCTTAATGAGCGGTGTTAACTGGTGTTAATTGGCGGAGTGTAACAGTCGTTACCTTTTCACCTGAACTACGGTAATTCCCCTCGTTCTTGGTGCTGACAGTCTGGGATATGCGAGAGGTACAATGTCAGTAGCCGAGGGCTTTGGACCTATTACCGTAGTTCCTCCAACAAGCACAAAGAGTGATCTTCGTTTAACAGCTTTTATTCCCACTCTAGTTGTCACTTAAATACGAGACTTCAGCCGCAAAGCTTCAGTCTCAGTCGAAATGCTTGTGCTTAAGTTTGGGTTCTGGTTCGAAAGATCGTGACAACAAGCCCAGAACGGAGCACCAGTCCAGATGTAGTTTCCCCAGCCGCTCTCTAGCCGCTACCTAGCCGCCCTCTAGCCGTTCTCTAGCCGTCTTCTCGCCGTCCTCCCGATTTGGGGCTTTAGCCCCTTTTTAAACCGGTACCTACGTCCGGCTCTACTCATTCTTCCATCTTTCATTGGTCAACCACCATTCCCCCCTACACTTGATCATTCTAACCCACTCTTATCTAATAACCAGCACCTTATTCAGACTTTTTATGATGTAGCTTCCAACCCTTTTGAAATTCGAACTACCCCCCCCCCCCCCCCCCCCTCCCCCCCCCCCCAATACCATGTATGTCTCAAGTCCCTAACGTTTCTGTCCCTCTCATCGCTGTTCCACTTTTTATCTACTTCCTATCTAGTTAATCGTCTTTCATTAATGTATAGCCCTCGACCTACTATCCTCACCCCTGGTTATTCGTGGCCAAGTATGTTCCCGTAGTCTGCAACTATCAGAGTTGCCCGTCATATATATATATATATATATATATATATATCAATGTGTTATGTTCATATCTTAATGATTTCAACTCCTCTTCTTGACCTTTTTATTCAATCATGTAGGTGTCTTAATGAATTGTTAATTACTTTAATTAGTTGTTATTTACTGTACTTTTATGCCTATAATACGACCCCCGTTCTGGCGAAGAGCGTGTCCCCACACTCTGAGATGGTGCCAATTCTTGTTATAATATCTGGTATACATTCCCTCTTATTTCTATGACTTATTGATATAACTTCACTTTAATTATCTAAATATGTATTAGACTGTCATGCCTATAATAGTTGTTCGTTTTATGAATTGTTGTTTTTTCTTTCCGTTTGCTTACATGTTAATACTGTTATAAGGATAAAATGCGTCTCATAAACAATAGAAAATGGTAACAAAATTGTAACAAATTTAACCGTTTATAGCTGCAATGATGAGTTGCATTAGACATACAAAATTTGTGACCGAGAACTTTTAGTTCGAAAGGAATTAATAGAGAAAAGAGATTTCACATTTATCACAAGAGTATTTTAGACAATGCATATTTATTATTGGATTGGTTCCATGTCATCATCGATAAGTTAATGAATCAAGTAGAGGGGTAAGGTACTTTACATTTGCAGCATCCGGAGTGAGTCACAAAATCAATAGAGAGATGATCAATGTGGCACGTAGGCTTCGGTATTTTTCCGAGTACGACACACATGAGTTCATGGTCAGATCTAATTTTTAATGAATCAAACTGAGGTTTTGTGACATGTGACAAAGACAGGCCAGATTTGAACACCATAAAATAATACCGTCAATATTAGGAGAGGAGAGCGCGGTTTGTAACCGATCGAGTCGAATCCCGATCGATCTAAGTTTTCCCATTTAGTGACGAGCTTGGCCGGTCTGATCCTGTCGTATATTGATAGATGGACTGAGAGAAAGTAAAACTGTGAGTATAAAGCTGGTTTTGCGTTTCTTTATTATGCGAGTATGAATGCTGATGGAGACAATTTGGAGTAAGCGCCGATGGACCAATCACTCCTTGACTAAACTGAGCCGATGCTGACAAGGCGAGTTGCAAAGTCATGGCTTAACTGACCATGATGACCAGGAACGCCAATATGTTTAGTAACTGTAGTAGGGTTGCACTGGACACCCGAAAGCCGTTACGACAATAATTTCTCAATCAACTGAAATGTGCGTTTGTCTCTTGTAAGTTTTATGGGTTGAATGATATGACCTGTTCTGTCGAATTTGAAAGTACACTCGAACCATCATTGCGATGAAGAACTGTTTTGCTTTTGTTATGAAACTAAACAGAAGGAGGAAATGCATTGTGAACATGAACTGAAACTACTGAAGGTACAAATGACAAATCACAACATTTGAGGCAGATATGAAACATGATATTTAGCTCTATCAGTAGACAAAACGTTTATGGATAACAACTTCTTTATCATGCTGTAATTGCATTTCGGTATATATCCTTATACCATTGTCAAGCAAGACTGAATGACTCATTCAGTCAAACGTCAATAAGAAAAGCCTATCAGATGATACTGATGATATAAGACCCGTGAATTTCTTCAGCAACCCATGCTTGCCGTAAAAGGCGACTATGCTTGTCGTAAGAGGCGACTAACGGGATCGGGTGGTCAGGCTCGCTAACTTGGTTGATGCATGTCACCGTATCCCAATTGATGCTCATTGGGTCAATAGTGGGTTATCTGGTCCAGACTCGATTATTTACAGACCACAGTCATATAGTTTGAGTATTGCTGAGTGATGTGTTAAACAACAAATAAATAAATAAATAAACGATAAATAAATATTTTTTGTAAGAGGTTCATTGTTTAGTAGGAATATCACACTGTTGACGTTGTAATATTGCAATATGGAGAATCACAACCGAGTGTCTTTTGTTAACACTTACATCAGCACAAGTCCATATCTCCTGTGAAAGATAGGTTTACATTCACTACATGTTTTCCTAGTTATGTTTAGCTTTCTTTCGAATATAGATCGTTGTGTTTCGTTGTCGCCATTCTGTTGCATTTTTGTAGTATTCTTCTAGTGTCTCTCCAGGATAAGCTGCCCTCTCCCTCTCCTTAGGGATTTGAAATTCCCGTGTTTTGAATAAGTTCTTCAGCTTCTTATAATTGACTGTTCTGCCAAAAACAGCAATCCGGTACAAGAACATGTCCAGTACTCTCATTAGCTTGTAGTTCACATAGTGGAAGCTGATTGTAAGCTGTGAACAGCACTCCGGGAGCTGGGTGGAGGATACAGAAGAGATAGAATTCAGCATAACTACATATGGGTAGGGTGAGTGGGATGGTGTTTACGCCACGTTTAACATTATTGCAGTTGCAGCACAGTGGAGGAAAATCATGTAAAGCGCATGGTGAAACTTCACAGACCAATTAAAGTATGAAAAGTTTACTGCAGCAAAAACAAAGGAACATATCTGTTGAGCCCTACTGCTAAATACACGAACAGCACATTTCATTTCATTTCGAAAAGAGTGAGTGAGTTGGGTTTAACGCCGCTTTCAACAGTATGCCAGTTATATCACGGCGTGTCAGCTTAATGCGGGTTGAAAGCCCGAAGTCATGCAGGTCTCAGACGTTTACCACTTCGGTGAAAACCACGAGCACGGGTATGGTGCTGACAAACCAAGAAACATAATCGGGGCGAACCGGGATTCGAACCCACAATCAAAGGTTTCTGGCGTGCCCAAAGGACTCAGCTCAATCGCGGCGCCTTTCGAAAAGAAATGACTGAATAAATACCATAAGAAGTTCAATTTTCCAGTATTGTCAAAGTTCAAATTTGAACCAAAATCTTGAGACAAAAAAGTTTTGCCTAAATTAACTTCTTAGATATGGTTGACGAGTTTTGTGATGGTGAACATTGATCGATGTCACTTCAAAACAGTGATGTACGGCTTAGAACTTAAGCTTGCAAGACTTGCTTCATTTTTCAGGTGTGACCACTTTTGCTAAAGAGAGAACATGTAACAAAATTTGAGAACATACAGTGACATGCTTTGTTTATGAATGGAAAAACGCAACAATCTTTCTTTTAAGTTTAGAGCTATGTTTCCTTTGGATATAACGACGCTAATTCTAACACTTCCAAATGTAATTTAGCGCCATCAAATTACAAATAGCATTGGGGTACATTGAAAACACATGATGTTCATTTCCCATTTGTACAAAATATTATCGGTTCTTTTTCAATGAGGTGGACTGACGCCATTATACATGCATGAGAATGAGAAGAAATTCGGAAGGAATCTGGTGAAGAGAATTGGGGGTGAGTTGAATGAAGAACACTGATGTTTATTATATTTAAAATGGATAATGCTAGACGGAGGCTGTGTATGGGAATTGGATGATTACATTTGATGAATACGATGAATGTAAGATCTTGCAATTAAATCAAAATAAGCATTTTAATTGATGATCCCTTTCTGCACGAAGACAAACCCTCCAAATTAAGAACCTGGGCTGCCCAGTTTAAATGGTGACCGCTTCCGTGGTCTAGTTGTAGAGCGTGTACTGTGTCTGAGTGGGGTATTCATGTTAAACTGCGGCATGGTATCTCAGTGGGCTAGCACTATAAATCGGCATCAGTCCGGACTAGTACAAGCAGCCACACACACGCATGCACACACACGTACACACACAGACGCACACAAACACGTACACACACACACACACACACACACACACACACACACACCACACGGAGCACACACACATACAGCACACACAGCACACACACACACGTGCATGCACGTCGCTACATTAGTGCAATAATCTTGGACGCGACGTTAAACATCATTTCACCTCACCTCACCCAGTTTAAATGAAGGATGTATGGGTTCGTGAGCCAATATGATGTCAGTCAGCCAATCAGCTATTTGGTATTTATTTCTCAACCACCTTGACTAAGCAAGGTTGATTTTAGCAAAAGAAAAACCACACAGAACACAACTATCTCTTTTCGGTGTAGAAGACACGGCGATCAGAAACGTCAGGGTGTGTAAAATATCTACAACAACATACAGATGTAGTTTTTATTTAGATTTGGAAATTTGTCGTTTAACTTCGTTTCGAGATGTAGAAATAAGATATATTGGTCTGAATGCTATCTCACTCGTGTTGAGTATTTAGAAGTCTCGATGCCGAATGTTCAACTGATGCAAGGTGTGGAGGTATTTCAGATCGTCATGCAGCAAGGTATCATATCGAAATTAAAGTAGAATCTAATTCTAATGGAGATGAAGATACCTGATGGTACGAAAGACCAACATGATGATTCTAAATGTTTGATAAGGAACTGGACCCTTGAAGATTGGGGGGTTAGAAAAGGTTATCAGCAACCCATGCTTGCCCTAAAAGGTGACTATGCTTGTCGTAAGAGTAACGGGATCGGGTGGTCAGGCTCACTGACTGGATTGTCTGGTCCAGACTCGATTTTTTACAGACCGCCGACATATTGCTGGAATATTGCTGAGTGCGGTATTAAACAAAATGATAAAGGAATTGGATGAACGCAGTACTTGAAAAAGGTCGACGAATAAGCTAGGTGAATAGAGTTGACCTGAACATGTGATGCCGGAGCAAAATGAACTCAACAGGTCTAAAGATGGACAAAAATTAAAACAAGGAAATTGGATGAAAACACGTAAAAAAAGATTGTTGGCAACGTGAGATGAAAGGGTTGTAGACTAAGAGGGGGTGGTGGAATAACTTTAATAAACCCGAAAATGCCAGTTGGATATTGCAGTTATACGGTGGAAAACAGGCTTCGGGCAATTGGTTTATATCTTGTAATGCTTACCGTATTATATTTGGTTGCACTAAAGCCAGACAGAAAGTTGTTTTCTCCGGGGAGGAATGCTTCTGGGTTGGCAGCATGGAAGGTAGATCTGTTGTACCTGTCTACAGAGAGATAAGTTGACACAGCAACTTTATACAAACACCGGCCTGTTTCAATGTCTTCACTTCCGCCTGCGTGACGACACCTTCCGGGAACTCTGTAACCCTGCTCGACCAATCGACGGAGAGCTGCTCTACTCAGCGCATACCCCGCGCCGCCACCGTTGTAACCGTTTGGTGAAAAATGCACAAAGTGATCCCCAACATAGATAGGCTTACTTGAGTTCAAGTGTGCAAGGAAGAACTTTAGGTTCTCAACAATCACATACGAATCATCGTCAGCTTTGAGAAACCAGTCGTAATGCTGAAGAGATGTGGTGTACAGGTGCGTGAAAGTCTGCACAATCTTTTCCGTGAGAGTGTCATGGTGGTCAGTGATGTTCAACCCGAGTATGTCCGGCCCTGTTTTGTTGGTTGTCATCACATACAGCATCTTGTCACATCTCCTGCCCCACGTCTCATTGACGGCCTTCAGTTTCGTCTCCATGTGGACCTCCCTCGTGGTGATGAAGCAGGCAAGCCGGATCTTCCGGGATACAGCAGCAGCCAACGAGGTGTCCACAACCACTGTAAGATGAAAAAGAGTCATCCAAAGATTTGCCTGTCCATACCCACATCATGATGAACATTTATTTTTTTTTTATTTCTTGTTTAACGCCGCACTCAACAATATTACAGCTATATGTCGGCGGTCTGTAAATAATCGAGTCTGGACCAGACAATCCAGTGATTGATTTCATGAGCATCGATCCACGCAATTGGGATACGATGATATGCATCAACCAAGTCAGCGAGCCTGACCACCCGATCCCGTTAGTCGCTTCTTACGGCAAGCATAGTCATCTTTTACGGCAAGCATGGACTGCAGAAGCCGTTTCTTCCCAGGATCTTCACGGGTCTAATGTGTGGGTCCTCAACAACTGATATCATTAACAGGAGTTACCTCGAAGCCGAGTTACATGCACTCAGCACTGCCAAATGAAGACGGATCAGAACCATAAGGTTCACTCTCATGGTTCTAGCAAGGATAGGGTCAGCACGGAGAGAGTCAGAATGGATTTGACATATCAACCAGCAATAGATTGTGGTACACTTTGCCATTATCTTTATCAAATGATATTTTATAATAACCTCTCCAACTAACTACATCAATACTACATGGATGTTGAGACGTGTGCTTAACGTTGTAGTGAAATATCCTATAGTTGCTGCAGTACTGTCCCGGAAGCCATCGAACCCGTGAAGATCCGGGGTAGAATAGGTCTTCAGCAACCCATACTTGCCGTAAAAGGTGACTATCCTTTGTCGTAAAAGGCGACTAACGGGATCGGGTGGTCAGGCTCGCTGACTTGGTTGATGCATGTCTACGATCACAATTGCGTGAACTGATGCTCATGATATTAATCACTGGATTGTCTGGTCCAGGCTCGTTTATTTACAGACCGCCGTCAAATAGCTGGAATATTGCTGAGTGCGGGGTTAAACATCAAACCAACCGGAAGCCATCGTGATTTCCTAAAACGCTTTTTCCGTACCCAACAACAAGGTCGGTATCTGGGCAAATGGTTTCGAACAAACACAGTGACTGGCCTGGAGGGAGGTTTTCACTGTTAAACTATGCGTGGTGGTTTTATTTTGGACAATCACCTTGACACCCAAATGGTCAACTTACTATTCCAGGCATTGAGGTTTAGTTTACAGAAAACATCGCCTCCGTGGTCATGTGGATATGTGGTCTGCCCGGAGAGCGGCAGGTCGGTGGTTCAATGCCCTGGCCGCTTCATGCCAAAGTACCTTTAATGATGGTACTTGTTGTTAACCTGGCAGGCTCAAAGCCAGTAAGTTGTGGCCTCGTGGGGTATCCATTCTAAACTGCGAAGTCTCTATCAGTGGGCTAGCATTATAAAAGAGGGTAAAAGTTCGGACTAAAACAAACAGTTATTCACTTGAACGCGAGGTTAAACCCCATTTCACCTCCCCTCACCTATTCGTAGAATGACTTACAACCAATTTCTCCTTCACTCCTGCCATCGTCAGTTGGTAAATCATCGTCTTCCTTCATGAAAAGGTCAAGGCCACTTTCCGTCAAGTGAATAGAAGTGTCCTCATCCCCGTGTCGCCTTCCTCCAAGGGGTAAATTATGAAAGGAAGCTTTGAGATCAATGGCTTTTCTTACAAGATCAGACCTATCTGAAATTAAAACAGTATCGAAGCTAAGGACCGACAGTTTTTATGCGCTCATGAGTACTTGGGTTTTAACGTTCATTTCTTCTTTATTTATTATAAATCCGTGGGCGAGTTTATTAGGTTGGTGAACTGGCTCGTCTAACATTTGACAATATATGTATTTTCTACACATGTGGGGCATTATTATTTCTTTTCAATTTTATGTTAATTTGAAGGACTCTGAGATACTGCAATTTATCATTCGTCTGTTTAAGACACAGTTGTAATTACAGCACGCAGTTCATTCATTCATTTTCACGACTATTTTGAATTTGCTTCGACGGATAATCGACGTATTTTCTTTGAATTTGACACGGTATACTTATAAACTTGACTGTGTATAGACATATCTACATCAAAATAAAAATTAATCTACCCGTGAAGATCTAGGTTAGAATTGGTCTTCAGCAGCCCATACTTGTCCGGACCTCCTCCGTGGTCTAGTGGTAGAGCATCCGCCCGGAGAGCGGAAGGTCCGGGGTTCGATACCGGGCCGCGTCATACCAAAAGACGTTAAAAGATCGTACTTGTTGTTACCCTGTCTGGCGCTCGGCATTAAGGGGCTAAAACAAGGACTCGTCGGCTCGGAGTCAGTATACTGTGTCTGATTGGGGTATTCATGTTAAACTGCGGCATGGTATCTCAGTGGGCTAGCACTATAAATCTGCATCAGTCCGGACTAGTACAAGCACCCACACACACGTACATGCACGTCGCTATATAAGTGCAATAGTCTTGGACGCGACGTTAAACCCAATTTCGGCGCATCTCACCCATGCTTGTCGTGAGAGGCGACTAATTAACGGGACCGGTGTACAGATTTCATTCCAATTGGGTAGATCGATGCTCAATGAAGATGAAACCAATCACTGGATTGTCCAGTTCTGACTAGATTATTTACAGACTGCCGTTATATGGAGTTCGGTGTTAAAGAACAAACAAACAAAAACCTATTAATCAGGCAGTTTAATCTGGTACTAAATTTGCATCAGTGCATATAGGCAATACTTCTTTGTTTAACGGTTCTGCCATGATTGTACTTTCTATGTTTCAGAACGTTTTGAATTTACTCAAGTAAAACCATATTTAAATGCTACATACTAGCGGGACGTCACATGCTATATTCAATACACAACATATGTTTTAGTGAGTGTGTGAGTGGTTTAGATTTAACTCCCACCAGTTATTTCAGAGTCAGCTTGATGTGGGAATGGACACAGGTGTTTACTGAGGTTTACAATTTTGGTATTGGAACAAAAGAGACAAAAGCACTATTTCATATGCATGTTTTTTTATGAATCACTATCCAATAGTGATGATACTAGATGTTCGCGAAAACGTGCGCGTGTCCTGCTACTCCGTTAGCATCTGTTACAAACGCACGCAGAGGCACGTCAACTGTTCAACTGAATATACGCGGAAAGATGTGGCACACGTCAAAATAGAGAATCACTGATGCGTCTAAAATTAGGGGTGGGTTATTTCATTAGGTTCTTGAGTCTGGTAACAACATCTGCCTTTATACCTCAAAAGTTGTGAAATGTGAACACCAAACGCTGGAGCAGCAGCTGTGTATATAACTTAATTCGTCTCACCTTGTGACAGAAGAAGACAGATCAGAACGAGGGCGCTGATCACAAGCAGTTTGATGAATGCTTTTTGTACCCTGTGCATGATGACGGAGACTGCAAATTGACAAGAAGAAACATCAAGTTGCATCAAACACACGCTAACTTCACAAAACGAGTCATTCTTGCCATTTAAAAAGGATTGCTTACAATCCAAATTTGACTTAATATTTGATCAGTCCGATTTTGAATATATGGTGATGGTGCTCAGTTGTTTGAGAAATATCTTAAATCTGTAATGTTAAATAATGTGTCCTCCGATAAATTCTTTGTGCTCTAATATCCGGCGTAACTTATAAAATTAGGGGGTGCATATTTGCGGAAGTGTGTATGTGTGTGTGTGTGTGTGTGTGTGGGGGGGGGGGGGGGGGGGAGGAGTTTTAAGGGGAGCATTTTCCTGTTACCAACTTAAAGAATGTCTAAAATATCAAACACAATACGATTTGGTATTTAGCTGAATTTCCTTTCTAGGTTGTACAAAATCAGTATATACCAGTATACGGTCTCTGACAAAATGTATCTTTAAAAACACTTTTAAATAAGATACGATAAGACTGTATTTTGTTTACGTCTGAGAATACATTAGAGACCATTAAAACACATACAGTTGTATAATCCCTCACAGGGTGCCGCAGTTCTCTCCCTTGAAAAGTTGTTTTAAAAATCGAAAGGTCGCTCCGTCGACCCCACCCCCTTCCTCACAATGTTCATTCAAGAGGGATAGATATTCCATAATAAGAGAAAAAACGAAGAAAACTATTATGATTTGCCAACCTTGCAGAGAAACTTCACTGACAACAGCCCATTGTTCATATTACGTAATGTAATCAATTTGTGACGATATGAACAATGTATGACTTCATATCGTACCTTACAGCCTTGGAATTTGAGAAAATGGAGACGAGTGTGGTTTAGCGATGTTTATCGTCGTCACAATGAGCGTTTTGCCCCACATTGTGTACGTGAATTCGACAGATTTGGTGGCGGTAGTGTCATGGTGTCGGGGACATATCCTACACCACCAGATCTAACTTGGTTGTTGTTCGTGTCACGGTAGACTCCGTTCATAATGCCAACATCTCCAGATCTCAACCCAATCGAACACCTCTGGGATGAACTTGATCGACGTGTACGTCAACAACGACACTCCCACAACTGGCCAACGCGTTACAAGCAGAATGGCGCAGAATTCCGTAGGACAGAATTCGTACACTTATCCTGTCAGTGCCGGGAAGACGCAGAGCCGTGATTGCTGCCCGAGGTACTGGGTTCTATGCAACCTTGTGGCCTTATGTGACATGACCATGAACAGTTTTCTCTGCCTTTGTACAACAACATGTGACTATCGAGCTCCAAAATTTCATTTTTGTATCTATGATCTTGAATGAAATATATCTACTTTACAATACAATACATTAACTAAAAATCTACCTGTGCGTCTTTTTTTTGAAGAGTGTATACACAATGAACAACGAAGAACGAAGTGTAGTTTATTTAATCCGGTTTATTTATTTCACGATAAATGCAAATTAATGACGTCGTAAATTGGACGACGACATATTTGAGTGGAAAGTGTCCAGTAAGATGTTCGCCATAGATGTTGCTGGGCGACGCAGATGATCGCAATATCCAAATTACCGCACCCAAATTATTGTGAGAAAAGTTGCAGTCAACGTGAAATTGGGAGAATACTCGTGGTCGTTGATTACCGTATAATAAAACACTGCAGGCTGAACAAACCACTCTTAAGCACAGGAAAACTACAGCAAACCTTGACATGCAATTGACAATCAATCAATCAACACACACTTTGAGTGAATATGCGCTCACTGGAACAGTAGTAGTCATGGTCGATAGCGAGACCCTCACGTCAGCTTGCGACAGATGGCGTCTGTGTAAGTCATAGTGAGGTATTTTGCATTGTGTGGGTTCTAAAGTAGTTCCTAACAATATATCGACTGTTTTTACCCCGACATGCACCTGTGGTTGAACGTGTAGCCGCTTTCATTTCAATCAAGTTACATGACACATCCCCAATATTCCAATCTCTGACAGAACCCGAGGCCGAAGCACATTCAACAAGTCACCTTCAGCAGCATTAATTTAACACAATGCACTTTGTCTGATTTTGGGGGTAAATTATCCCAACTGACAGATATAATTCTCAAATCATGTTTTGGATGTCCTAACTATCATGTGTGATACAAGCAATTAGGCACTGAATCTATTTATCTTATAAGAAAACGCTCAGTCCTGAGCGAGTTAATATATTTATTTCTATTATCAAAATGCATCCTTTATAAATAAAGCAGGTAGTTTACATTAAGCACTCTCAGAAGCACAGGGACAAGTACCTAAAGAATTGAAGGATGCATGTATACTGAACAAAAAGGTTAGGGATCATGTATAATTTTGGCGCTATTTTTATGAAATTGTGTACGCCGGCTTCATTTAAGAAATATCCTTCAAAACATTCATGATCCTGAGGTTTTTGTTCTGTATAGTTTTCGAATATAACTGTCTATGATACTTATGGCCACGTGCAACGTCATATGACGCATGCATCAATCGTCAACCAAGTTATATATAATTTATCATTGTTTATGATCCGGGAATCGCTGTCAAATGTAACAATATATGACGCTTACTTAGGTGAGTGAGTGAGTATAGTTTTACGCCACCTTTTGCAATATTCAAGGACTACCAAGGCAGAAATTGGCTACACATACACATTGCACCCATGTGGGGACGTTAACCCGGGTCTTCGGCGTGACGAGCAAACACTATAACCACAAGGCTACCACCCCCCCCCCCCCCCCCCCCCCCCCCCCCCCCCCCCCGCCACCGCATACTCACCACGTCATTTGCATACCTTGCGACGTCCTTGAGCGGTCGGGTAACCTTGTCGTTAAAGTGTTCGCTCGTTACGCCGAAGACCCCACATGGATACAATGTGTGAAGCCCATTTCTGGAGTCCCCCTCCGTGATATTGCTGGAATATTGCTAAAAGCGGCGTAAAAGCAAATTCACTCACCCACTCACTGCTATAAACGACGCTTGCTTCAGTGGTCGAGTAAATTTCTTACTATATTCGACGCTTCGGTCACATTCAGAGAATATCCAACGAGCTTCAGGGAATTACTGTTTCGAATCAAAGAGTGCATTCCCTGACCAACTCGTGTTATTCCGGGACAAGCCGAATAGCGACTCGTGCCCCGCCCATAGCCATTTTTGCGATCGGGTTCCGTCTTAGCGTAAACGGGCATACCTAAAACAACTGTCAATTCGTTGCGAAAAGGTTTGCATATATTTCTCCCATATATTACATATATTTCAGATGCAATTTAAAGCACATCGGGACATGCGGAATTATTCAGTATGGTTGAACACATTTAACTGTATCTTGGGTATATTTTTAGATGCAAAACATATGTAAAATCAAAAAATATTTCTGAGGGATTCTTTGACGAAGAACTTGAAATCATACGCGCATTTTGATTGGTTTGTCGTACGTATTTTCGCGCATAACATTCATCAATAGGGGGACGAGTCTTCTTTCAGGTTACGGAAAGAGGCGAGTGGTGACGAATGCAAAGAGTGGTGTAAGCTTCGTGGTCTTGTGAGGCATTTACAGCATCTATTCATTAAACACTGAAGCACCATGACGTCATTGGGTTTCGACTGAAAACTCCCTTAATAGCCAAATTATGGTGTATAAAGTTTAATGAAGAAATATTGCATGCTGTATAGGGTAAGTACCTGAAACGTGGTGGGCGGACATTGTCCGTTTCTATATCACCCACAGAAATCAGTTTGGGTGGCGGATTATTACGCACTCTGCAGACTTGGAGAAACGTTTGCTTCTTTCTGTAATCATAAACTACCAGACTAAAGGCCGGTGGTACAGGCAATACATGTCAGCAAAATATATGTACGTTTTGTCACTCCCGAGTAATTCATTACCCATTCCACTATCGGGTGTAATTCAATTTCAACCTTACCAACTGACACCCCATTTAATGTAGCATTTGTTCATGCTTACTCTCTCCTCCCATCCCGTCGCTTTATATGCGCAATAACCCCATTTTACCTCACCTCAAATAATGTTTCAATGTGTTTTATATATGTGGAGTTTTTTTCCTATATCTTACATGGGATTGCTAAATTTCATATGTTTAGCTTTAGTAGATACATTAAGGAGTGATTTCGCAATTGTGAGACAGCGAGTGAGGTGATTTGGTCGGCTCTTTTAACAATATTCAAATTACATCCAGCACTTACCATACATTCCAGTTATGATAGAAATACCCGGCCTAGTCCACAAACTTCAACCAAAGTAAGTAGTTTGAAGTTACATATACAGGCAAAATATTACATGGTACTTAGTACTCCAAGTACTATTATAGACATGTATTGTCATTTTATCATTACATATATACATGTACACATGTATTATCAAGTACATATAATTTCATTCATTGTTCATAAGTTGTTGTTTTTCAGTTTTCACCTTTTCCACGAATGCTGTGCAATGAATCAATCCAAGTCGTACACTCCAATTAAAGCCTCCTTACTAAAAGCCTAGGCAAGTCTAGATCACACCAACCAAGTCTAGTTTAGTTCATTCCAAAACAGCAGAAGAGGAAAGGTTCTTTCGAAAAAATATTTAATTATTTTCAAGAAATGTTTTCGTTGACGACGTGTTAGTCGATCTGTCCCCAGATCCTAGAGTATAAATTTAAAATGGACTTCAAGTAAAGACTGATTTGACAAGTCTAGTTTGCCTAAGTTCTGGTCAAGCATCAATCAGTTCAATCAAGCATTGTTCTGGGCTCCAATTGGATTCTATTGAGTAGATTTATAATTTTAACTTCGACAATTATATTTCTGGGATATTGATTGATTTTCGATGTGGGTATTTAAAGATAACAAAATAATATGAAATACATATAATTTATGATGTAGCTAAGGTATGTGCACATGTAAAAACTGTATTTTGTAGGCAACTAAAGAAGATCTTCAACACCTTATATTGTATATTGTTTTGAAATGTCTCG